GGAAGACCAGTGGAGGGAGATGTAGAAAGCTCGGTCTTTGTTGGCTTCTGTGATGCGGACTCTACTTCCTCGATATCTATGATCAGTGTTGATGGTAAAACGCTTTCTTTCGATGGTGATGGAGGTGGGGTGGGGATGGGGAGGGTGAGCCATGAGGATAGCAAGGGTAGTCTACTGAGGAAGGCATGGGTAAGCTACCGGAGAGGCTCCGGCGACGGGGAGAGGAAGTGGAGAGAGCATCTTTTTTTTAACTTGAGATTTTCAAGTTTGAACCCAATGCTATTTCAATGTGCATTATCATGCATAAGTCTTATAGAATGCAATCACATTCAATGTATCTCCAAGACCTGTCTAGTTATAATATGTCTATCCAACTACCAATAAATTAAAAAAGTGAAATTATAACTTCTTAAATCCATGAAATCAAGAAACAACAGTGGTTGCCGTGGTAAAAGAATAAGATAAAAGAAAAACGAAGATAATTTACCTTGAAAATGAAAGATGAAGTTGACACTGTAATTGGTTTCTTAGACATGCCACCATATGTTACCATTGTTCCTCCTTGCCTGGAAACAAACACATCATTAAACCTTGAAGACAATCTTAGATCCTGCTCTTGGAAGGGACGGAGAATATTTGATTATCTAACAAGGAAAAACAAAAAAAAAACAAAGATAGAGTAAATGGACCTCAAGAACTTGAGAATTAATGTAGCAGCATTGCCTCCAACACAGTTAAATCCCAAAGCAGGTTCAGGTATGTTTGCCTAGCATGTAAATGAAAAATTATAGTAAAGCAAATGAAGAAAGGTTTAGGATGCTAACAGTACGAGTTTCTTGGATGTCTTTCTGTAACTGTTCTGAGTTTCTCAACTCACTCTATAGCCAAGTTTGTTTCAAAATTATTTACTAAACTAGTAGGTTTTTGTTTTCCCTTCAAGAACATCAAAACTACCGTAGTTCCATTTTTCCATTTTGTTTTATTCTCCCTTAATTTCTGGCTGACTAGTATTTTTCTTTTTCATTAAAAAACATCAATATGAGAGTTTCCGTACCTAGAGACCACCGTGTACAAAAATGAAAGACTAACTAGTCTTCTATTTTGTTTGTTTCTCCCTTTATTCCTGGCTACCTGTTTATAGCAGTCGAATTGTATTTTCATGGAATCCTTAAAACCATGCTTTATGAACTAACTCTTAGTTATTATATATTATAAATCTCATAGGACCGCCGGATTGGTTGGAAACATTTTGTTAGGGCTCTGCTGTGGTCGACTTGGTTGGAAAGAAACCGCCAGATTTTCCATGGAAGGGAGCTACCTACTCGCAGTCTTTTTGAATCTATAATGTCCTTGGTTGTATCATGGTGCAAATGTTCCCCCATCTTTAAGCACTATAGCTTTGTCTCTCTTTTAACAAATTGGAGAGCTTTTTTGTAACACCATTGGTTTGGGACCTTCCCCTTTTGTACTTCCTTTCTATTTCATTACATTAATGAAATTTGTTTCTTCTCCAAAAAAAAAAATAAATCTCATAGGACCACCGCTTGTCCCTGCAACATTTGGTGGTTGTAAGGAAATTTGTAGGATTTTAATATCCTTGGGTAAATGCCACCATGAAGTTTGGACCCGTTCCCATAAAGTTCCTTCCTTTTAAACATGCCCCAATGCCACCAGGCCAACCCAAGGTAGATTTAGTTAGTTGTTATGTATTAATTAAAACAAAAATATAGAACATACCAAGAGACTCTTAACATTCTTTACTTCAAGCTGACTCTCAGTGAAAACTTCATCAGCTCCAAGTCTCTTGAGTTTTTCTTTTGCTTCATCAGACCCTGCCCTACAGAAAACAAAGCAAGAGATGGTAACAACAGTAAAACTCTTTATGGAAATCTCTTACCTGAAAGATGGACTATGGATAAAGTTAAACTATATTGACTTCAAATATAAATATTGAAATAGGTAAAAGAATATAGATAGATTCCCACAAGTTTAAAAATGACGAACAATATAGTTCAGCCTCAGCACCTGTCCCGAATAATATTTATGCTGTGGATTCCACGAATCTGAGCAAGCTGAATGATGCATTGTCCCACTATGCTCGTGGCTCCATTTTGAACAATTGAGTCTCCTATCAAAACCCTAGAATTGATTATGAATTAGTGGATAAAGAGGGTAAAAAATGTCAAAGTTAACGCAATGACAAAACCTGCTTTTAAAGTGATAAAGTCCTCCAGCATTCTCAAAGCAGTCAAAGGATTAACAGTAACAGTGGCAGCATATTCCATCGGTACATCCTTGTTGATTTTGTGCCACACGCTCTGATCTTTCACAACATAAGTCTGCCATGTCCCTAAGTATAGAAATCAATAAATGACATCAAGAAAAACAAAGAAACTTGGCAGTTCCTAGTTTGTTTCACGGAGAAATTTTTTAAGAAATGTTTTACAAAGCTATGATCAGGTGACTTATAATGATTGATATATTCACTTAAAATTATGGTCCGCAGACCCATGATTATCAAAGAAAGAACAACTTAAATTGTTCTAAAACACAGATCACTCACTTTTTTAAAAAATTAATGCTACTAAACATAGAGAAATGTACATTGAAATTAATGCTACTAGATGGATCCATCAAAGCCAGAGCCTTCATTTTCACCACCGTATGGAACTGAACATTTTTCATGGAATTTCACTGATTTTCTTCCTATTCTTGGAGTAAAGAGCAGATGTACCAGAAGAAGGAGGAGATGGGATAACCCAGTCACCGGGTGAAAGACCCTGAACGGCCGAGCCCACCGAATGCACTTCTCCAACTCCCTCGTAGCCTCCAACTGCTGGAACTTCCGGCCTCACGGGGTATACACCTAAAACACCCAAAAGAAATCCCACAATTAGCAGCAGAATGAAGAAAGATTTCTGGTTCACAAAAATGGTGAAATTGCTCCAATTTTGATTACATAAGCATTCATCGTCTCCAGACTAAACAAATTTCGAAAATTAGACCTTCAATTCGGTTGATATCAGAGGGGTTGATCGGAGCCGCCAGCATTTTCACGCAGACGTCGTTCGCTTTCACTTCCACCGGCGGTAAGCTAACCACTCTGCATCAGACCAATGGCTACCGATTAAAACTAGGTTAAAAAAGTTTGTGCGATGAGGATCATTAGAGAGATCTCTTTCCAAGAAAATTTAGGTTAAAATCAAGAAGATTGCTCGCCTCGTAACGCTGTCCGGAGAACCATGGAGGTCGTAGACAACGGCCCTGGACGGCGGTGACATAACCGCCGAGAATGCTCGTATGGTTCTTGATTTTGCGGGAGTATGGCTTCGCCGAAGCGCGAGCCGCGATCCATTGACGAATCTGAGAGCTACCGACGCCATTTTTTTCAGTAGCTTTTTTGTTAATCTTCGAGGGGTCGTGACAGGCGAGCTGAACTCAGTGATCACTGAAGCAAAGAGACTGGTTAAAACGCCCGCAAATTTCGTATTTTTATTTTAAAATATTAAAAATATAAAAATTAATTCAATAATAATAATAATAAATATTATTATTATTATTAATTTGATAGTTAAGATAGACGTACTGTTCATCAACAACAATATGCAAAATGATTGACGGCCCTTCCTCAACCTAAACTCTATCCAAACGTCGAGTTAGAGCAAGACAAGCCAACTAGTGCGTAGCGTTATTATCTTCCTAAAGGGTGAAGCTAGATCTAATGGAGCTAGAAGAGACGCGTTGTCGACGAACTTCCGAGAGGAGAGAACCAACCTCCGATAAATCATCCACAGGTTGATCCATCCAGTAGCCTTAAATAGCGTAAAGAATCAGTTTCCAATAGAATTTGGTGAAAACCTATATCAATCGCTGATGCCCTTCTTGATTGTCGAAGCCTTTGACCAATCCGAAGGATAAAAAACGTGGCAGCAAGAAGGATATTACCATGTGAGTGACGAGCCAACACACCCACACCCCCCGTTAAAGAAAATGCAGAGAATGATGCATTAGTATTGACCTTCGCCCAACCATCCTCGGGGGGCTGCCATCTGCACAAGCTTGACCCCTTACACAAAGTCCCAGCATGAGGTCGAAATGTCGTCACCGAACCAAAATATTGTAGGTAATTTTTTGCCCAATGTCCTATTGGGCCAATCGAGCCCGCGCATGTGGTGCACACTTTGTTGCACCGATTCCACACTGCCCATAGAAATACAGATAGCTCCTCAAAATTTTTCCAATGGAGTCTCTCCTACAAATTAGAAAGCAAGAAAGAAATAGACGGGATGGGCCAAGAATACTCCAAAAACCTTTCCACCATTGCAAAAGGGTATCTATCGAAGAAGAAGACGACACAGATAACATATCCTGTTGTTGGGCCACCAAATATCATTTTTAACGGGGGAGGACCTGTACATCACAAGACTAAGATTATTTATATAATTAATATTTTTGGTAAAATATATTTTATTAGGTTAGCTTATTATTTGGTCTTATAACAAACGACGGTTTGGTCTCTAACTTTTAGAAAATAGTTTTAAAAGGTCTCTTGTGTTAATGTCACTAACAAAAAGCTAACATGTTATTAATAAATTGAATATTTATTAATTTATATAATTTTAAAATTAGATGTCATTTTTTCTCATTTCTCTATTCTCTCTCTCCTCTCCTTTTTCTCCTCTGTTTCTCTCTCTACACTTCTTCCCTTCCCTCCTAACTCCAATCACCCTCACGAAAATCCTGTCATTACATTACAACTCTGCTTTTATCACCCATGCCTCATTTTTCAACTCATTCACGCCTCCAAAATCCCTCTATCTATTCAATTACTTGGACGACAAGTCCTTCACCTTTGTAGGTTTAAAATCGGAGAGGACGTTGAAAAGCTCGCTGCAATTACGACTTGAAAGTGAGGAAGGCGGTGGATCTAAGGAATTTGGCTGAGAATGTGATGGAAAGAGGAGATATGAGGAATGGAAGATTGAAGGGCTTTGTTTGGGGGTAAAAATACCTTGGACACGTGGAGGACGCTCATTGGTGTTCAAGGAATAAAGTATCCCAGGTCCACCTCGAACCTGCCGAGGAGATTAGGTTTGCCCATCGATAAGGTTAAGTGTAAAAAAGCCCCGGTTCGACCTGGACGGGTTCGATCTGCTCAAACCCGACAGGTTCGACATAAAAAAGACAAAGGTAACCGCCGGTCGTGAGCACTGTCGGACCTGCCACTTATAAATAGAGGGCCTCATTTTACGCACAGGTATCGAATCTCACCTCGAACTTAATATTGTGTCCGACTAGAACTGACTTGAGCGTCGGAGAGTTTGCCCTCTTGTGCAGGTTCACTCTTGAGTTCAAGTCAAGTCGGAAGTCGGGTTCGAGCTTGGTTCGTAAAACAGCATTGTGCAATTCTTTTCATAAACATTCGGCGCCGTCTGTGGGAAAGGACAATCTAAGTCATCCCGATCTAAAAACCGTGAACAAAGATGGTTCAACCAGCAAACTCAACCAACACAACAGACCGAAGAGCTCTGGCTCCCAATGATGGTCACCAGAGGGAGGTCGGGGCAGAAGTGGCAGAGGGCTAGATTTATGAAGGCCTTGGGACCGAGCCGCTCCGCAGGTCGGCACGCATCACCACGCCTGTTCTACCACCGGCACATCCAAAACCGTCCAAGGCCAATCGTGGCCGAGGTGGTGCCTCATGAAGAACCACTCGAGGAGCAGCCCCAGCTCCTACTAAAGAGAACTTTGATGCATTCCATAAAGAAATGGAGGCAATACGCACCCAGATGCGCACCATGGAAGAGATGTACAACGAAATGGTCAAGCTGCGGGTGCAGGGTCTCGATCTGAAGACCGAGTGGTGCGCGACGAAGTGCGTGAACAAGGAGGTCTTCACCTCGACCCAGTCGATGAAGAAAACCTTGGATGGTATGAAGATGAGGAGTACACTCGTCAGAAGGGCGATCTCCGCGATCATCTCAATAGAAAGAGAAGTTCGTCCCTCCGAAAAGGACGATCTCCATCTTGCTCTCACAAGAACTCCAACCAACAGGCCGAATCTTCTTACAACCTGATAACTCCCGAGGGAGTGATCAAGAGGGAGGAGTTCGACCAACTAAAGAGTAATTTCGATGCTCAGGTCGAAGCCTTGAAGGCTAGGTGCGAGAAGAAAGAAAGCCAGTTCGATGATGGCGACCTGAGAGAATCGCCATTCACCTCGGACATCTTGGAGACTCCAATCCCTCCAAAGTTCAAAACTCCCACCATGAAGCCTTATGATGGGTCTAAGGACCCAAAAGACTATGTTAAGGTCTTCGAAGGCCTCATGGATTTTCAAGCAGCAACGGACGCCATTAAGTGACTCGCCTTCCAGATCGCGCTTACCGGCAGCGCACGCTTGTGGTACAGAAGATTGCCAGCTAGGTCAATCTCGACCTACTCCCAGCTGAGGAAAGAGTTTATCCGTCAATTCTTTTCTCGACAGAAAAACGGCGACTCACCTCGCCACCATCAGGCAGAAAGAGGATGAGACACTTAGAAAGTACGTCACTAGGTTCCAAGAGGAGCAACTGAAGGTCGCGCACTACTCCGATGATTCGGCCATGTGTTATTTTCTTACCGGCTTGGCCGATGAGACCCTTACTGTGAAACTCAGAGAGGAGGCCCCAGCTACTTTCGCTGAGGTCTTGAAAAAGGCCAAGAAAGTTATTGATGGGCAGGAGCTCCTCCGGACCAAGACTGGCCGACCAGAGAAGAAGATCGACCAGAAGAAGTCCGGCCAAGACAAGAGTAAGGCTGATTCAAAGTCCAAGGACAAGAGATCATCCTCCTCCAACAATCAGACTGATTTTCGTAGGTCGGACGGAGGTTCCAGTCGAGGTCGACCCTACGAGCGGTATACTCCAACCACAATCCCTATCTTAGAAATACTTACGAATATTGAGGAGAATGGGATGGAGAAGCTCCTTAAGCGACCTGAGAAGCTCCGAGGAGACCCAGAAAGACGCAACAAAGATAAGTACTGCCGTTTCCATCGTGACCACGACCATAATAAGTCCAGTTGCTGAGAACTCAAATGCCAAATTGAAGACCTCATTCAAGATGACTATTTCAAAAAAATTTGTTGGCAAGCCGAGGTCCAACTCGGAAGAGAAAAAAGATGAGAGGAAGCGTTCAAGAACCCCGCCTCACTGAGAAGACCGACCTGCGGTCATCAATACCATCTTTGGAGGCCCAAGTGGGGGCCAGTCTGGAAACAAAAGAAAAGAGTTGGCTCGAGAAGCCAGGCACGAGGTGTGCGCCATTAGGGAGCAGCAACCAACCTACTCCATTACCTTTGATGACTCCGACTTGGAGGGAGTCCATTTGCCCCATAACGATGCACTTGTGATCGCGTTTCTCATCGATCACGTCCTAGTTCGGAGAGTATTGGTAGATGGTGGTGCATCTGCCAATATTCTGTCTCTCATAACATATCTTGCCTTGGGATGGACCATGGCACAATTGAAGAAGAGTCCAACACCTTTGGTTGGACTTTCGGGGGAATCAGTCTCCCCAGAAGGGTGTATTGACTTTCCGATTACGATTGGGCAGGACAGTACACAAGTTATGCAGATGGCCGAGTTCGTCGTGATCGACGGAAGGTCGGCCTACAATGCCATCTTTGGAAGACCTGTCATTCATTCATTTCGGGTTGTTCCCTCAACACTTCACCAAGCTTTGAAATACTCAACCCCCAATGGGGTAGGCATAGTCCGAGGAGAACAAAGGATGTCAAGGGAGTGCTATGCCTCGGCACTTAAAGGGATCTCGGTATGCGCCCTCGAGAAGCAAGCCGAACGAGTTGGAGAGCAAAGCTTAGAAGCTGACCTACCAAGGGAAGGAAGAAGGGAGTTTTCTGCACCAACGGAGGAGCTTGAGCTTGTTCCTTTACTTAGTCTTGAGAAGCAAGTAAGCATAGGAACCAAGCTGGGGGCCACTGAGAGGGAAGAACTAATCAACTTCCTCAGGTCCAACTCGGATGTTTTTGCATGGTTCCACGAGGACATGCCTGGCATAGACCCAAGAATCATGGTGCATCGCCTCAACATAGATCCATCATTCCGACCTATAAAGCAAAAGAGAAGACTTGTAAATAAGGAGAGGAGTGATGTAATTGTTGAGGAAGTAAACAAACTTTTAAAAGCTGAATATATAAGAGAAATTATGTATCCCGAGTGGCTTTCTAATGTGGTATTAGTCAAAAAAGCTAACGGAAAGTGGAGAATGTGCGTAGATTTTACAAACTTAAATAGGGCATGCCCAAAAGATTGTTTTCCACTGCCAAGGATCGACCAACTCGTAGATGCAACAGCCGGGCATGAGCTGCTTACCTTCATGGATGCCTACTCCGGATAAAACCAAATTAAAATGCATGTGTCTGATCAAGATCATACCGCATTCATCACAGA